CACCAACTCAGTTTAAATTGTAAATAAGAACTGATCCACCTTAAAAAAAACACGTCAATAAAACTAGCATATTATAACTATTTATATCAATTTCTAAGAATTAATACAACATCGTCAAGTAAATTAGTTAAAAAGAGAATTTATGTGGATACTAATGCTTGACTAAAATATATATTCAAGATATAAAAATTAGAAATGTTCAAAAAGGGAATCAAATTGAACGTTGTCCTGTAGAATAATACATATATATTAACTACCTTCAATTAATGTTGTTACTCACCACTTTGTTGTCAAACATCCTTTCTTTATCAATAACAGACTGCTTTTGACTCCAGTTGAGAAAAGACCCTTTTGCGCTTACTTACAATACAGTAATATTCACGTCTCACAATCGTAGAAAATACGATGGGAGTGTTAATAAGTAACCAGAAATGTATTACTTAAATAAATTATATCTTAAAATTCTTTCTAACTTGCTGGACGAAACTCGATGGAATGCTACTACTCATCTTTATTAATCACTATATTCACTGACAGCAGGAATTGTTAGAGAAGAAAAAGAAAACGGCTTATTTGCATTATACAATTGAACTATATTTTATAACCGTGTTATACTAACAGTATTACATATGGTACATAGTTTATGCAGTTTTATATTTAACGGCCTTTCAAACATGAGTTTGTTATAAAACGAATGCGCAAAGAACCCTGAATAAATTAGTGATTCTGGTTTTGTAATTAAATACTGATAAAAACTGCCAAAATCACGTTACGGTTGATTGTTAGAGAAGAAAAAGAAAACGGCTTATTTGCATTATACAATTGAACTATATTTTATAACCGTGTTATACTAACAGTATTACATATGGTACATAGTTTATGCAGTTTTATATTTAACGGCCTTTCAAACATGAGTTTGTTATAAAACGAATGCGCAAAGAACCCTGAATAAATTAGTGATTCTGGTTTTGTAATTAAATACTGATAAAAACTGCCAAAATCACGTTACGGTTGATGGTTATGTTTACATCATGTTTTAGAATATTAAATATTATGGTAAATATTAATGGATAGCCATCGGACAACAAGGTTTATTTGTTTCTACTTTTAACATAATATAAAAAAAATTTGCTCTCTCAAATATAGTAGATATCCTAGAAGTAANACTAATATACAAAAAGTATATAAAAGTCATAGCTGGGTAAATATTGTTTACCTGCCTTTGCGGCAATTTTTGGTGAACGTACTTATCCCCTAAATAATGAACTATGCTTACCTTGTTAAGCCGTTTATAAATATTATTGTATATATAATATATTTCTGTATATATTACCTAAGTTTGTTGCTGAAAAAAATAAACATTTATGTACCACTCTGTTATTCTCACAACTATTAAGGGACAAACAGTAATGCGGTAATTCAAATCGCTGAAAAATTGTTCATTTATTTTCATAAAAAATATTTGAGGTTCATATTGTAATTAAACAAATGATAATTAACGTAATTAAAAATTGTTTATTATTGAGAAAAATGTCAATGTACAATTTAAAAAAATTGCCACCAAGATTTCTTCTACCTAACAAGTTTAAAACTAAACAGTTAAACGATGATCAAAGAAAAATATACCTAAATGATACACGCGAGTCCTCCATAAAATTAAAATGAATAATTACACATCACGTTGTCATAACTGAAACCGAAAAATTTCAAACGAAATAAAAATGAACGCCTTTATTGTCAATTATCATAGGACTTTTTTGTATCACAGATCATTTCTACACGAACATAATAATGAGTGCTAATTTCTCCTGCACCAACTGATTGTTCCTACTGCTACAAATAATCTCTTAATAATTACGGTATGGCCTTATTTATTTCATTCGCTTATAAAAAAAATCACGTTCTCAACGTAGCCATTAAAATTATATTATTAGTGTTTTGTATAAAATATTCCTATTCTACTGTTTTTATTTTTTCTTAATTAGATGTTGTGAAAAACAACTCTTTCTGTGTGACGATTAGTTCTTTCGGAGATTTAAAATATTTATACTTATAGTTATCATTCGGAATCATTTACAAATCGATATTTGTCAATCCTCTGTCTAATCGCAATAATCGCCTCACTGTCGTCATACATATCTTTAAGATAATAAAGCCTAAGTTTATGTTCACTGTGGCACTCTAAAACCTCCCACTTTTGAAATAATTTGATGGCATTTTTTACCGAGTCACTCGACACACATTCTTCTGTAAAAAAAAAAAAATGAAAGTAAAAAAAAAAATAACAAAGAGCAAAACACCACACGAAGCAAAAAAAAGCAACCAAAACAAATTTCGGAAACTTATTGTTTCTTTAACTCCTCTATACCCTATAGACCAAAACTAAGCTTTTATTTATTTAATATCTTGAATTACTTCTGCAATGATAATAATTTTTTTTAAACATTTTGAGAAACCTGAAATGCAATTCTTGCTTACTACCCAAAATAAATATCCTGAAACTTACCATGCTTTAGGACTCCGCTGTCGACCTGCCGCCTCATTTCTTTTACAACGTCTTTGACAAGATCGCCTTCAAGCATAGATCTACCAACGAGCTTCTCCAAGCAGAAAGCTGTTACCGAATAAGCCTCTATGAGAGGCAAAAGCAGATTGCGTAAAAACTCTAGTGTCCCCTTGGCAAATTCCTCCGAACTGATTAGAAGTTTCGGCATGTTTTGTCCTCTATCACCCTCTTCTTCACCATCCAACACGTCATCTTCATCGAAAAGTTCTTGTGCTAGTCTCCGGCCTCTTTCCAAATCTTGGGAATTAATATTATCCTAAAATATTAAGTAGAAAAGGATACATTATTTATTAATAACTGCTGACAATATGGAGTATTATTAATTCAAAATACTTTAAGACATTTTCATTATTATTATATACATATTACAACAGATTTCCAACAAATTACTTATTCGTTAGAATACTGCGAATTTATAAATTTTTTCATTATTCATTAACAGTCATGAAAATTCATCATAAAACAATTAATAACTACTCAGTAAACCCCCATAAATTTAACTTATTTACTCACCCTTTGCAAAACTTCCCTCTTAACAATAAAATCATCGACACAATCCAAAATGCAAACGTCTAAACTTTGGCACGGTTTGTGAAAAATAAACTCGAACTGTAGAATTTCACACAAGTCCATCGACGATTCAACAAGATCGTTTTCGAAGATGTACGCGAATTGGGGGTTGCAGCAATTGTTGAGGGCCAAAGCGACAACCGACTGAAGGGCATAATACGGTAAAACCACGTTACTGTAATACGCTAACTCTATAACATTTGGTAACATAGAAACTGGCTTTATTATCTCTTCGTTATTCACCTTGTCTTTCTTGATTACTGCAGGGCCCAATAATTCTATCTGCAATGAAATTAAACAAATCTGAAATAATATCCTCATTTAGTTCTAAATAAAAATCAATACGAATTATAGAAGGAAAAGTGTAAAAACTTTGAAGATTTTGAAGCTTATTTTTGTAATAAAAATAAGACAAAATAAAACATATTTACTTTCCTAATATTTTTAATAACTTACCGCATAATGAATTACGTCTAGA